TTGTTTAGATACTACAAATCTTTACGTTGAGCTGTATCCGTGGTATCCTGTGTCAACCACTGTGTATAAAATACTTTTGCCCAAGCCTACAGTCATAGAGAATGCAATGCTAACTATAGATGCTTTGTCAGATAAAGCAGCAGAGGCCAGAAATAAACATTTCCGATAGTGTAGGGAGCATTATAGCAAAAAATTTAGCAAATTTGCCTGTAATATGGATGTCATCAACAAATTTTTGATAACATCAGATCCGTTTCTAAGTAGTATAAGACCCAAAGCTTCTAAAAAAAGCAAACTTTTTCACGGAAGTTCACGCCTCCTTCCTTACCGTGACGCAAAAATAAGTCCAGTGCGCGTTTCGAACCTGAATCTCCTGCTTCTAAAGCAAGCGCCCTAACCACTGCGCCACGGTCACACTTAAAAAGCAGCTGCCATAAAGTGTCATAAATATACTTTTATGGAGTTTACACAAGCAGTGTATTTATAAAACAATTATTTTTTTGCGGTAATTTTATACTGAAATTTCATTAATATCTAATAACATCTGTTCAAAAGTTAAATAAATATTACAGATGTAGCTACATCTTTTAAATTATCAAATTGTAATAACATCTGTGCAATTACATCTGTAGATTTTAAGATGAAGTTATTTTTAAGATTAATTAACTAATAATACATTATTTTAACCAGATATAGATATAGATGCATACAGAAAATTCTTCCAGATGATATTGGACTAAGAAAAAAATTACGCGATGTAGTTGTGCGGCCGTGGCGCAGTGGTCAGAACGCTTGCTTTATAAGCAGAAGATTCAGATTTGAAACAAGCTTTGGACATATTTCGCGTCACGGCAAGGAAGGAGGCGTGAACTTCTTGGTTAAGTGCACTTTTGCGGTGCTCAGTTAAAAGACTGTTAGGTCTTATTGGGGCACCTAAATAATAATAAAACAAAAAAAAAAAGTTACATTTTTCTAAAGATGTTGTTAGAAGTTGTTAAATTTTCAGATGCGATTGGACAAATGTCATTAGAGTAAAAAAAAAATACAGATAATCTTGCACAAAAGTGTACAGATCTTAGACTACTCTACAGATATTGTTGGACAGATGTAATCTTTTATCATATACTCCGCTGTGCAGAGTTCTGAATGGATCCCTTGAAAAGCTTTTCAGGAGATCCATTCAGAACTCCGCACAGCGGAGTATATGATAAACGATTACATTTGTCCAACAACATCTGTAGAATAGCCCAAGATCTGTACACTTTTGTGCAAGATTATCTGTATTTTTTTTTCAAGTTTTTTACAGTCCAAGATCTGTACACTTTTAAAGGTGTAGTTCTGATTCCGGCAAAATAACACTGCCGGTAAATCAGTATTTTGAAATCAGAACATAAATCAAAAAAACTAAGTAATCCATCGAAACCTTGACCAACGTGGACAAATCCGATATATATATATATATATATATATATATATATATATATATATATATATATATATATATATATATATATATATATATATAAATATATATAAATATATATATATATATATATATATATATATATATATATATATTTGTATATTAAATATCTATAATATATTTATATAAATATATTTAATATATATTTTAAATTTAAAAAAAATATTTTTTATCATTGTTTTTAATCAGCTAGTGACAATATAATGTTTTTTTGTCGTGTACCATGTTTGTTTTAGTTAAATAGTTAACATTTATATAATATTATTATTATTATTATTATTATTATATAATTATTATTAACTGTTTAAACAGATTAAATCTGTTTAAACAGTTAATAAAGTCATTACACACTTGTAACTAAAGTTGTTTGGGTAGCATTTTTAAAATCTTGCATACAGGTTTTTTTGTTAGTGTTTGGGTCTTTTCAGGTCATGTTAAAAAAGGGCTGGTGTTTCTCATTATGTGTTGACTGTATTAAAGTCACAAAAGTTGCTTTTTAACAACATACTTGCTGAGTAATTTGTTCTATTATAAGCATATCTGTTGGAAGCTGCTATGTCATTGCAAATATATTTTTTTCAAAGCAATTAAGTGCCTTTTTTTTCTTTTGCTTGTTCCTTGTTTTTTGATAAGTTTACTGGAAAAGCCCTGTACAAAGTTTTTTTCAAAAGCTTCTTATAAAATTTGCAAGTTGTTATTATTGTTTTTGTTACTCTTTCATATTGGTAATAAAAGTACAAATTAAAGTTGGTATTAAAGTTGATATGTAGGATAACGAAAAATGTGCAAGTTAAAACAAATAAAACTGGTTTTAATAATAATTGCCTTTAATTAAAAAAAAAACTTGTAGAGTAGCCAAAACAATCAAAAGAAAAAGGAAAATATATTCTAAACACAAAACCAAATCATTTTAAATAGTGGTTAGTGTGAATAAAAAATGCAATCGCTTAATTAGGAAAGTAAAGACTGACTTTGAGTATATGCTGGTGTGAAATATCAAATATAATTCTAAATCATTCTTTACTTGTGCTAGAAGCAAAACAAAATCAACAGTTAAAGCTGGAGTGCTGTTAAAAAATGATGGTGTTAAAATTGGTTCAGTTACTGGAATAACTGAAGAATTAAATAAGTACTTTACATCTGTTCTTACTAGGAGAATATTAACATAATACCAAAATTATAAGGTATACTTAATAGGTCTAATATTGGTAGGATGAGTGACTGCATCTTTTTCAAGATTGATGCGAAGTCAAATTTGTCTAAACCTAGAATAGATGAATTAGCTGGAGCTGATGATATATTCCACTTTATTTACTGTTTCGTAAATCAATTGATGATGGGGTGGTGTCAGATGATTGGCAAAGTGCTAATGTTATTCCACTATTCAAAAGCTGTAGTAGATCAAATGTAGAAAATTACAGATTTACCAGTCAAATTTGTAAGCTATTCGAATTACTAATACGGGATGCTATGGTCAATTACTTTGAAATGAATCAAGCAATAGTAGATTCGTAACACGCATACAGGAAAGAAAAATCATGTGTGACCAATTTATTATTGTTTTTGGAGCAGGAACAGGATTTATTGACAATGGAGATTGTGTAAATGTGATATAATTAGATTTCATAAAAGCCTTTGATTAGGTCCTTTAAATCAAAGATTTGTTAAAAAATTGTATAGTCATGGAATTTAAGGCAAACTTTTTTAATGGATAAATTCTTGGTTAATTAACAGGGCTCAAAGAGTAGTTTTTAATAGAAAAAATTCTTCTTTTAGGAGAGTATTTAGTGGCATACTACAAGGATTTGTATTAGGTCCAATCTTCTTTTTGATATTTATTGATGATTTGGATACCGGTGCGACTATATTAAAATTTGCTGACGAAACCAAAATATTCTCAAAAGGTTATACTAGAAGCGATGGTTTGCAACTCCAAGAAGATCTGCAAAAGCTTGTTCAGTGGTCTATTGAATGGCAAATGCAATTTAACGTTATGAAATGCAAAGTTATGCACATTGGAAAAAAGAATTGGTTATGAATACAGTATAAACACGGTTATTTTAGAAGAAATTGAGACTGAAAAAGACCTTGGGGTTGTGATATCATATGGTTTAAAAGCATCTAACCAGTATATGAGGGCTTATGGTAATGCAAAAAAAAACTCTGGAAATGATAAATTGCCTATAAACAATCTTATATTATGATAAAACAATATAAATTGTTAGTTTATCCACACATAGAATATTGTACATCTGTTTAGTCACCTTTTTATGTCAAAGATAAAGAACTAATTGAGAAAATACAAAATTGATTTAGTAAAATAATAATAGAAGTAGAATATCTATCATATGCAGCCAAATTACTTAAACTAGGTCTATGGACACTTGAGGAATAAAGAAACAGATCGGATTTAATAGAGCTGTACAAGATGTTGTATGGGTTTTCTACTATTTCATATAAATTTTTTTTTGAGTTTGCAACAAATAAAAGAACAAGAGGTCACCCACTTACTCTGGTTGAGCATAGATTCACAACTGTGGTCAGACAATATTACTTCTTGAAAAGTGTAGTCAACCGCTGGAACTTACTTGATTATGATACTGTAACAGTCACTTCTCTAAATTATTTCAAATCAAAACTTATTAAGTTATGCACAACAAGTATGGGCTTATTTATAGACTAACATCTACATTACTCAATTGGTCATAATTAGATTGCTTTAGCATTAGTGTTATGGCCAAGGTAAATTTTTACTTGGTAAATTTTAACACAAACCTAAAAATGATGTGAAGAATAGTTATCTTTAAAAGTTTGTAATGAAATTTTAAACACAGTGTTGATGTAGTCTAAACACAGTGTTGATGTAGTCATAAGTCTGTTGGAAAATAAAACTTGTGAAAGTTTAATAAAAAGTGAATGGTATAATATAGAAATTCTCCTATAAAGAATTTTAACTAAGAAAAAATGCATTTGGTTAAAATTGCCTTGAGTAGTGGTTAGAGCATTGGGCTACAGAAAAATGTGTCCAGATTTCAGCTATTTCTCTAGTTGCAAAAGTGACATTGGTTAAGTTTTTGTTTTCTTTTTTCTTATTTACAAACATATATCATATTTAATAAGTAAAAATTTATACACTCAATAATGTTTTACTGTTTTAAATGTCTACATGAACCCTTTTTCAAGCAGTCATAGCTTATAATTGTCCACTGTCTATCCCTGTGTCATTTTGATGATCAGGGCTGTCCTAAAGAGATTTTTAAAAAAGGAAGTGAAAAAAGGGGCTTGCCTATGGCAAAAAAAAATTATTGCCGACTTAGGTCAAAAGAAAAAGTCTTTTCCCTAATATTAGCTGACATCAGCTAATGTTAGGGATCCAAATTTGTCAACTCCAGTATTTAAATTTGCTTAATAATTTTCCTAGGGTGTGCAATCCCTATGCCACCCTCAGGATGACCCTAATTATAATATTTTAATTTTTAATAACAATATCTAAAAATACACTATACACCTTTTTTTTTTTAGTTTTTAAATAAATTGTAAAAAGAAAGAAAAATGGAAATTGAATAGTAAGTGTAGATTTTACTACATTTTTTATTATTGTATACACTCATTCACATGCACACTGACGCACACTGATGATGTCATACTAAAAGTAGTAGCTGCAGGGGCTTATATACACTTTTATTGTGAGACATATGGTTATATATGCGTTATGACAGCCTACACAATTCTTTATTTTATTTATAATAATTTACAATTTGTTAGAAATCAAAATTATCAAAAAAAATTACTAGAGTTGAATAAGTTTCACAAAATTTATAATAAAAATCTACCTAGTCTTGCTTTAAAAGAGTTCAAAGACTGCGCATTTACCACATGAATTGGTAATGTACTCCATTCATTTTCAATACGGTTACTAAAGAATACTTGTCAAAATGTAGAATGCTTGACATTTTCTTTTTCAATTCTTAGATTATGTCTTCTTATTGCTGATGCTGGTTCGTTTTCTCATAATGGCGGTACAAATTGTTGTAGTTTAAGCCACGCAATGTGATCTATATTGTTCAATAATTTGTACTCTTGTATTAGATCGCTGCGCAAGTCATTAGTCTCCAGCGTAGTCAATTTCATTTTTGATAGTCGCTCTTCATAACACAGATGTTTGAGATTTTGTACCAGTTTGGTTGTGCAACATTGGACCTTTCCTAGTGTTTCAATGTCACCTTTCAAAGTAGGATTCCATACAGAGATTGCAAACTCATGGTGAGGTTTAACTAGCACTGTGTACAGAGTACGAATCATTTCTGTATTTAGATTAGTGAGAGTGCGCTTGATGACTCTGAATACATTCTGCGCTTTTGCTGCTGCGTGTCAACTTGATGATGCCATTTAATGTCTGATGCAATTAACACGATGAGGTCATCTTTAACTGTTGTTTTGCGTAGTTTGTACTCAAAACCATTTTCTGTCATCATATAGATGGTCCTAGGGTTCTTTTTGCCAATGTGCATAATCTTATACTTCTCTTTGTTTAACTGCATTAAGTATATACTTGTCCATTCAATTAACTTGTTAATATCCTTTTGCAAACTGATTGTATCCTGAATATTTTTTATTGGTTTCATTAGCTTGCTGTCGTTTACATTCACATTGTAGTAATCCTAGTATGTTGTTGGTGAATATCATAAACAAAAAAGGCCCAAGAACAGATCCCTGAGGAACACCACTGAGTATATTCAATTATGGCAATGAAACCTCTCCCATTACAGCGCGTTGCCTACGATTGGTTAAAAAAACCTCAATCCATCTCAACAAAACACCAGATATCCCATATGCTTCACACTTGAGTAATAGCCTTTTGTGCAGTACCTTGACAAAAGCCTTGTTGAAATCAAGGTGTATCATATCGATTGGATAGTAGTGCGTTGTCGAAAAATCCATTGTTTCCAGTAAGTTGGTTACACAAGCCCTTTTCTTCACAAAACCATGCTGGTGTTGAGATCATGTAGTTGGAAATGGTCAGTGATTTCTATACGAATAAATCCTTCCAAAATTTTGTATGGAATTGATGTTAAAGACACTGGTCTGTAGTTTAACGCTGCATATTGGTTTTTAATTTTTGAACAAAGGGGGTTGTGTTTGCTTTACTCCAAATCAATGGTATTGTGCCTGATTCAATTGTAAAGCTGAATATGATTGCTAGAGGTTTCGAGAGTGTTGATGCACATTGCTTAAGTGCATACGGACTTACCATATTGCTGCCCAATATGTTCGTCCAATTGTTCTAGTTTATTTTTTACCTACTCCGAATTTAATGTACTCCTCCAGTCCCAGTCAATGTCTTCATTTGTTACATTATTAAATTTTGGAAACGCTGTTTGTCCCTCAGACACAAAAACAGATTGAAAACTTTAATCTTTGATGATTGTTTCCTTGTTGAAGATTATTGCACCTGTATTGTCTCTTGACATTTTTGTTTCAACTTTGTGTGTCTTTTTGTGTATGAATAGAATATCTGAGGATCTGTCTTTATCTTGTCAACAATTATTTTTTCATATTTGCTCACTGATTTCTTTACAGCTTTTTTCACATTCTTATTTGTTACTTTGTATTCATTAATTAATTTTATATTTTTATGACTTGTTGCTCTTAGATGACTCCACTGTGTTTTTTTAAGGCATATTAGTTGTCTAACTTCAGCTGATATATGTGGATCTTTTATAATTTTTATTTTGTTTTGCTTGGGCAGATTTCATAACGCTAACTTGCTGGTTTTCTTATCCCAGTCAATACTCTCTAGTGTTGCATTCAATCTTGTATCACCTTTCCTGTAGGTGTATGATTTTTTGTGATAAATTTCTCTTATAATGGTACTGTTTTTTTTTTTTTTTTTTTTTATTCTAATTCACTCCCAATAAGGCTGCAAGCAACCACTATTAAGTTGGGAGTTACTAGAAAAAGAAAAAAAGAGTCATAGAGCGAGGAAATGGTTGACAGAAGACTTGAAAAGTTGAAGGTTGTATGAATCAGGAAAACATAAATTTTGAAGAGATTTCCAAAGGGTTGAAGTGTGGGTAAAAAAACTAGACTAGAAGTTTTTATTTGCAGGTAAAAAAAACTAGATTAGAAGTTTTTATTGGTGGAGATTTTTACGTTTAATATTTTGATTTACTTTTGACATAGTTTAAAGAACACATGACTCATTCATAGACAGAGTCTGGCCTCCCAAGCAATGAGCTGTGCAATTTTCTCAGTCTAGTTAATTAAACCTAAGTTGTAACATAGGGCTTCTTGGTGGCCTTGACAATGCCCACCAAAAGCATTAACAGGGACACCATCCATGTGCAACATGGCACTGTTAATTCTCTGACATTTTGCAGTTGTTGATGGAATCAGCCTCTCTGAAGCTTCTCTTCTGCTTACCCCTAAAGTCTTTGCCTAGGAGGCCTATTACAAGACAATAGCTGGGTGCAGTTAACAAGTGCCCAAGATAATTATTTTTTATCTAGACACCATCTCTAACCTTTGCTCAACCAAGAACCCTAAGGCAGGGAATTTTCAGGTGGATGCAGTTAACATCTATCCAAGATAACTATTTTGCATCAAGACAGCATCTCTAGCCTTTACTCCGCCAAGGCAGGGGTTTTTTAAGTCGAAGTTTGTTTCTCCTAGCTTTTTTCCTAAAAAAGCACACTCTACAAGGCAGCAGGGCATGGGGCAAGTAGTACTGGGTTATATATTACCAGTAGCAGGGTGATCGTGATGATCAGACAGAACACAAACATAGATATAAACATAAACAGACAGAACACAAACATACAGATAGCAACTTACTGGTGAGTGAACACCGCGCCAGAGGTTTAGACAAAACACAAAAATAGAGATAGCAACTTACCGGTGAGTCAACATCATGCCAGAGGTTTAGACAGAACACAAACATACATATAAAGTAGATTACAGGTGAGCTAAAACTGTAACTTAAGCACCTCAAACTATATAAGAGACACACACAAAAAAAAAATGCTGTTTGTCACTCTATTGAATGACATTGTATCCCTTATTGCTTGATCCTAGTGGTGGTCCTATTTCCATGTCTATCACTCTTTCAAGGATTATCTTTTTCCGGATATTTCCGGAATTCAAGATATTTTTCTTAATTTTTAGTTTTTCTACATAACAATATCCATACATAACATAAGTTTAGGTGTATATTTTTGTAATATACTTGTTTTTTAGGCTTATTCACTCATCACTCATACAAAAATTAAGAAAAGTTTGAAAAAAATTGTAAACAACTCAGATAATAGTAAAATTAGGAGGAAAATATATTCTTGATTTTTTCTGGATATTTAACCAAACAATTTTCCAGATTTTAAAAATATGATCTGAATGATCTATGCTCTTTCACTGTCATTTGTTATTACAAGATCTAGTATATTTGTTTATTATCCATCCTCAATCTGAAATCTTGGTTGGGAAACGCACTGATGGAATTTTTGTTTAAATTGTCAACAAAGTTTATGCTCTGTTGACAGTTACCATTCATGCTAATGCACAGATTATCAGACCATTCAATGTTAGGATAGTTAAAAACATACAAGCATTCTATGATTTGATATATATATATATATATATATATATATATATATATATATATATATATATATATATATATATATATATATATATATATATATATATATATATATATGCACTAAGCAATTTTATGAGGGTGGTGTGGGGGATTTCAGGCTACCTGATTAAATTAAATTTTTTTTTTTTTACGTGTTAATGTTGCAATAATATAAAAAATATATACTAATTTTCAAAACGTTATACTCTAGCAAGAAATATTTGATGACTGCCATTTCTAATCTGAAATATATTGAATATGAGTTGTAGAGATGTAATATTTATCTTAAAATACTCACAAGCAATTTATTTTCATAAGAATAACTACATGAAATTAATAGATTCACAACTTCTGTGTGTGATTTCCGTGCGTGATCATTCATGAACTGCATTGGAACGATTGCTGTGACTCTATTATAAATAGTGCAAAAATATAACTTTCTGTATAAATTTGCTAATATCTAAAATATTGTTTAAAAAAAAAAAAGTATGCTGCTAAAACTTATATTTTCCAAGGAATTAAAGTTTATTTATTTATCAACTAAAATTTGCGTTTTTCTGTTCAGTGCATGATCTGCTTCAAACTTAATTTATTCTTTGATAACATTACTAATATATACCTTCTTTTTTTTTTTTTTTTTACAAAATATCTTTTATAAATACTTTTTTTTAAAAAACATTTATATATACTTATACTTATATAGATTATTTAGATAGATAGATTAATTATGTATACTTATATTATGTTAATTATGTTATTATGATTTATGTTATGTATACTTATATAGTTATATACTTATATACTTATATAGATTAGAATAAAATGAGGTTAAATTGACGTTCAACAGTTTTATCTTTATGAAAAAATACAAATACGATAAAACAAATACGAGTTTCTGTGCGTGATTTTCTGGAAATGCCCATGAGCAAGAGTTTCTTCCAGTTTGCTTGATTAAAAAATTGTGAAACAAGAATCATCATCAGTGATGCACAGTTTTTCTTGTAAATTCTGATACAAGTCATTACATCTTTGCACCAGTTGCACAACTAATCTCCTAGAGTACATGGATATAGTAACAACAGGTGTTACAAATGGTAAATCGTTTGATATCCTTTATACTGATTTCAAGAAAGCTTTTGACAAAGTTTCACATAGGAGATTAGCACTAAAACTTGAAGCATATGGCATTACATCTACGTCATTGAAGTGGATAATTTCTTTTATAACTGATAGGAAGCAAAGAGTTGTACTTGGAGAAAGTGTATCATCATGGGTAGACATAGTAAGCAGTGTACCACAACGTTCTGTGCTTGGTCCAATTTTATTTTTAATATACATCAATGATTTTCCAAGTCAACTTACAAACCAATTGTTGTTGTATGCAGATAATTGTAAAGTAATAGCTGAAGTTAATAATGAAACGGATGCACATGCTTTACAAAATGACATTTCTATGTTAGAAAAATGGGTAATAAACTGGAAAATGCAATTCAATTTTGAAAAATGTAAAATCATGCATATTGGTAACAAAAATAAAAATTATAAATATTTCATGACTAACAATAATATAAAGCAAGAATTAACTACAACTAAATTGGAAAAAGATCTAAGCATATTAATCTCGAATAACTTAAAATGGGAACCACAAATAAAAATTGCATCATCTATTGCAAATTATAAATTTGGTATAATATACAAATCATTTAAGTATAAAAATAGTGAACTAATAAAATTGTTGTATTGTAGTTATATACAGCCGCATTTAGAATTTGCAATACAGGTATGGAGCCCTTATCTTGAAAAAAATATAAATATATTAGAAAAAGTTCAAAAATGAGTAACGAAATTTGTACCTGAGCTATGTCATCTATCATACAGTGAAAGGCGAGAAAAAATGTAATTAAAATCTTTAAAACAACGAAGAATACAAGGAGATCTCATACAAATGTACAAATGGTATTATGAAATAGAGAAAATAACTTGGAAAATACCCCCTCAACATTCGTACTCATTTAAACTCTTCTGGTCCGTGTTCAAACATTCAAGGTAATAAACATAATTTATTCACAGATAAGAAATATTTAAATCGAAATCATTTTTACAAATTGCACAGTCAAGTTCTGGAACAATTTACCAATTGAAACAGTGGAAGTTAAAAATCTCAACTTATTTAAAGCTAAACTAGACTTAATTGACTATCTTTAACTTTCTTGCTATGTTTGTAAAAGATTTAACATGGCGTTAAATCTCAACAGTATTGTTCATTATATTATTATCTTTGGTGAATTCTTCCTTGCTGGTCCTTATTTTTCATTTTTATTATGCTGGATTATGTTAGAGATGGTTTGTTTTAGAATTTTTTCTATTTTAAGTGATCCAAGGTGAAATATTTTTAAGTGATTCAAAGCAAATTATTTTAAGATGATCTCGACTTCTTTCTGTAAGATTGATGCGCTAAACAAAAGTCATAAATTTGTTTTCTTGTTTTGTTTCTTGTTTTGATTTTCTTAGAAATGTGTAACTATTTTAAAAATGTGTAAAAATTTGTAAATTTGATAGTATTCAAAAACAAGAAAATAGTGGATAAAGCAACAAACTTGATTGACACAAGCTAGATTGACCATTCGGATTAGTTATCGACCACATAAAGTCAGCTAACAAAAGTGTGAGAATTTTATATTAGCTGACAAATCTTAGAAAGATGAAGGACAGTTCAGTCAAAATTTATGCTCTAGTCCTTTGTTCTTACTCTAATTTAGTAGACTGGAAACCAAGTTTGACAAGGTTCAAGATCATTAAGAGTATTTTCAGATTTCTCATAAAAAAGAAATAAAGAATTTGTTTTCTCTTTTATTGATAAGCTGCTTTCTTTTTTGTACATTTAATTGCAATATTTTATATGGTAAAAAGTTATGTTTGTTCTAATAATAAAAGTTCAATGTTCTGATTTTATTTCTTCAAACTAATTCTATTTTTATAATTTTTGATCTCTGCCTAGTAAAAGTTAAATAATGCTATATTTATATATCGCAATCTTCTATTTTTCATGTTAAACTGAGAGTAATTTTATATGATGTTTTTAGGTTTTTCAAAAAATGCGTATCTGAATTGTATGAGTCTAGGTTATTTCCATGCTTTTCCTTTACAATAAAGAAATTTTCAGGTTTCTGCTCCAAATAGGCACTTTTTTTAAAAAAAATTTCTGGCTAGTTCTGCTATTTTCATATTTTTTTTTAAGTTGCCTATTTTCCAAAATTTATTGTAAAGTTTGAACTTTTTTTTTCTAAAATTTAAACTCTAAAAATTGAAAACAAAATGTTTTTCTGGTCATTATTTTGGTAAATACACCTGAATTATCAACTAGTAAAAATTAATATATTGGCACTTTTTTAAAACTATCTTTTTTGGTCTATTTGTGTTGTGTTTGACTGGCAACTCTAAAAATGTAAAAAAAATAATAAGATCACTTTTAACTTTATTATTATTCATGTAAAGCCTGTTTTTTCCAGCTAAAATATGAACAGAGGCCATTAAAAAATGTTGAAATTAAAATTAATAATTTTAAATTGAAAATAAAAATGATAAATATTTTTAAGGGTGTTAACACATCTTGAAGATCTGAGATTTAGAAATATTTTGATTTTTCACAAAAGTTGCAAAAATCATAATGTAAAGTTTTCAAAGTTTTTTTATTATGAAAACTTCTCGCTTAACAACGCTTAATATATGTGGAAGCTGAATGTTTTGTCTAACCTATGATTATTTGCAACAAAGGTATCATACCTTAACAAAGCTTTTTAAGGGATAATGTATCATACATCTATGTATCACAGAATTCCAAACTTTTATCTATTGATCAGTTTAACAATATGATTGACTTTCTGGTAGTTGTAAAGATATCAAAATTCCTTAAGGTTTCTTTAAATAAATGGAAAATACCTACTAACAAAGTGTACTTGGTCCTTTCTGACAAAACTGCTTATTTAAAAGTAGCCATGAGTAAACCTGGAAAATAATTCTTTAAGTTGTATTATCCACACTCTTTAGCATTGTATAATCAATAAATGTTTTGAATAAATCATTTTGTTTAACTCAACCCAAGAATCTAGCTTTCCAATAAAAAAAGTTCAAGTTATCAGGTATTATTTAAGTACATATTCAAGTTAGGTCACCAAAATCAAAGGAGAAAAATCAAAATCAATTGTAAAAATTTTTACAGGCGCAGATTTGAGAAAAAACGGAAAAAAATGTGAAAAATATTTCTAAAATATGAGCTTTTATCGTTTATTTTATTTTTCCAGTCTTATCGGTACTAAATCAATAAAGGAAAAACTTTATTTCAAATAATAATGAACTATAATATAAAAATAATAATGAACTAAAATATAAAAATAATAATGAACTATAATATAAAAATAATAATAAACTATAATATAAAAATGTGTGTGTGTGTGTGTTGACTAATATTTCATATGATGATTGTCAAAAACTTTTAGTAAAAAAACTTTTACTTTTTATCACAGAAAATGTTTTTAACATTTTCAAAAAGTTATGTAGTTCTTTTTACATTTATGTTTTTGAAATGTCTTGAATCTTTCTAAACTCAATGTGCTGTATGTTTACAACAAATAAAAAAGTTTATTTAGTTTTTTTTTATTATTTACTTGATTTTAATTTTTTACATATATACTATATATAAAAGAACAGTAATATTATTTTATTATTCACTTATATATTATTATATTTACTTTAATATATTTAATTGTCATTATTTGTTATTTGTTTATAAAGAAAAATATTTATATGCAAAAAGAAACATGCATAAAGCATAATAATGCACTAAGCCACTTTCAGACATTCAGAAAACTTTTAGACCTTTCATGTATAGCAAGAAAACTTTTAGGAGCTTCACTATTTTTATGTTTAGTAAAGTTTAGATTTAGGGAAATCAAGTCAACCAGACAAATCAGTCAAACCAGTTTTAAAAAACAGTGAAGCACAAAGAACGCTTAACTTTTGTCAAAGCAAAATTTTGGAGAATTGCAGATAAAAAGATTGGTTTTTAGTAATAAAACAAAAATATATCTTAATATATTGCATAGCATTGTTTGAATTTATATTTATTTTTAATGTAACAGAAGCTATGCTATTTTAAATATTTTAAAAAATTTTACAAGTCTTATAATTGCTGATTTAAATTAATGTCTGCGTTATTGGATTATTTTATGTTTGTATATAAAATAGAAATATAAAAGAAATGATGTTCTTGAAACCATCAACATTGTCTGATGGTTACCAACTGATGCTAATCTTAATGTATTAGCTAAATTTTTATTACAATGGCAAGCCAACACTGATGTGTAGTTTGCCCTTAATATATAATAACATAATAATTATATGGCTTTAATTTTTTATTTTTAAATATGAAAATTTCTAAATACTTTTTTTTAGTCGCTCTCCAGTAAACGAACAACGAATTTTAGCAACATTTGTTAATGAAGCCCATGAATCCATAGGTGCTCCCCTCGATCTTCCTACAGATTTAACTCATGAAAGTTTACAAAATCTATGCAATGCGTTGCTTCATAATGTAATCTTTATTGATTATTTTTAAGTTTATAAATAATTGATTACAATATTTTTACTTTTTGTGTGTGTGTGTGTGTGTGTGTGTGTGTGTGTGTGTGTGTGTGTGTGTGTGTGTGTGTGTGTGTGTGTGTGTGTGTGTGTGTGTGTGTGTGTGTGTGGTCACCATGGAATTCAAGAGCATAATAAATAGATTTTTCGTATTACTCTTATTTTTACTTAAATTAATATTAATTTATATAAAAATATACTTTGTTAATTATTTTTGTTAGAGTTCATTTTAAATATATTTAAATTATGAATTCATTGCAATTGGCAACAAAGACAAAATAGAAGGGTCTACTATAGTCAGGGATCTTTTGAGATTATAAAAAAGCAAGGAACTTTTTGCAGAACTGTTTTAAGAGTATTGTATTAAGAGAATTTGACAAAACTGTTATGCAGAACTGTTTCAAAAGTATTGTATTGAGAGAATTTGACTAAACTGTTTTGCAGAATTGTTTCAAAAGTATTGTATTGAGAGAATTTGACTAAACTGTTTTGCAGAACTGTTTTAAGAGTATTGTATTGAGAGATTTGACAAAAATGTAAACCTCTTATAAATTGATAACATCTTCAAACTCAATATAATAAATGAATTTAAGGTAAAAGGTAATGATCTTATATTTTTAAAATTCATTTCCCCAAAGCCAATAAGCCCACTTCAGTCAAAAAGGCTACTTTATTGTGGTTACAACACTCTCTCAACTCTGAAATATGAGCCTTGACAAACAAGGCTGCTTTGCTAAGAAACAAGTTGAGCATAAGGTGTGGTGGAGATCAAACTCAGAACTTCTTGATTACAAAGCAAACACTCTACCACTACACTACATTAGCTGTAATGGCATTACTGCATTGTTTGTAATGGTTCTTAGTGTTGGAGATGTTGTATAGGAAACTACACTTGTAAAAATGAAGATTTGAACACTTTAAATTGAAGCAAGCTTTTGATAGTAATTTTTTAGCATTTTAGCTTTTGTGATTCCATAATTGGTTGAGTATACCTAACTTGTTCTGCATGTATTGACTTGATATTTTAAACTATCTCCTTATATCTTATAAATTGTTGTGTTTTTATTTTTTAACTTTAGCATGGCAATACAAGTACAAGTAAGAGATACAAGTACGAATAAGAGATATTTATGTTTAACATTTTTGGTTGCTTTGGTCATGGTTCAAGTTAAAGAGAACTTGACTAGTTCATAGATAAAGCATGATATCCCAAGCAATGAGCTATGCAGTTGTAGTATATTTTTAAAACCACCAATGGGTTACCATTAGTAACTTAATTTAATTCAAATTACCAGGATTCAAAATAATGGAAGGTCCGAAGTTGGAAACTCTGTGAAGTAAGAAAAATGAAATGTGACAAACTAAAGAATAATTACTTAAAGAAATCAATTAAAGTATTTTAATCAAAGAAATTCTTAAAAGTGTTTTCAGGATTTAATGAATGTTTTCATTGAAGAAATTATTTAAAAAATTAAAAAAGTTGAATTGCTTCAAATAATATACTTTTAAGGTTGCTAAATGCCTTTGAACCATCACGATTTGCGATAGCTTAATTCGCCCTTTGTTATTATTGGCAATAAGAAATAACATGTTATTAAGACTTTCCATTATTTGTCTCAAGCATTCCATATAATGAAAAAAATCAAAAGCATATGTATTCCAATAGTATACTATTATATTTCAATAGTTTACAAAACTATGTTTTTTTTTTTGTTTTTTTTTTTTCAATTATTCACCTCCCCAAGGCCCGAGGGGGCCACTACTCATTTTTTTTCATCACTCGAGGAGGCTACTCATTTTTTTTTTTTGTTGTAAATCGTGGTACAACCCTCTCTCAACTCTTTAACTCCAAAACACGAACCTTGACAAGCAAGGCCGCTGCGCGGAGAAATTAAGTTAACCGGGTACTTCCAGGGACGTGATGGGAGTCGAACTCCGAACCTCTTGCTTACAAAGTGAGGGCTCTTACCACTACACCACTACCGCATTTGATTCCAACACTATACATCTAATATTTATTACATTTATTATTAACGCATGTATTCCAACACTATACATCTAATATTTATTACATTTATTTTTCAATTTTTGTTTTTGTTTTTATTTTTTATTTTTTACTATTTTTTAAAATTATTAATAGTATGTGATCAATTACAATCAAGTATTATTTATATTTATGTAAAATTTTGCACAATTGACTAAAAAGCAACTAAATAATTTTTGATCCCACAGAAGATTATTCAACATTTGTTTTCATATGGGCACATGCACAAAAAGAACATTTATTTTCATATGGGCACCTATGACATTTGTTAAGTCAAATAAGATGACATTCATTCAAGTTTTATTGTTTAGATGGCATTTTCTGATTTGGTAGAAACATTTTCATTGTAGGAATTTAACCAAATTATATTGCCTTTATAGTTTTTTGATAGTGATTGATTTTTTCTTTTTATTATTAGTTACTAAGGCGTTCCAAAAAGACCTTGCTTGGTGAAGTTTTATAATTTAACTATAAGATGGTAATATAAAATTAAAATCTATTTATTTATGCTAGGATAGCTGAAAACGAAGAAAACTTCTAACAAGGACACACTTCAAGCACACAAGGACACACTTCTGCTACATTAAAAACTCTCATTATCTTCAAACAAATATTCTTTTAAAAGATTGCTCATTATAAATAATAAAAATTTTATTAAGTAAAAGGTTACATATTGTTTAGCAAAAGTTATATATTGTTTAACAAAGGATACATATTGTTTAGCAAAAGTTATATATTAATTAGCAAAAGTTACATATTGTTTAGCAAAAGTTATATATTATTTAGCAAAGGTTACATATTGTTTAGCAAATTTGACTGTTTCATTCAGAAGATTTTAGTTTATAGATACAGAAAGTTTATATATACAGATACAGATAGTTTATATATACAGAAATCAATATTCTCATAAATTTAAAACATTTAAAATGTTTATATATATAGATACAGTTTATATATATAGATACAGATAGTTTATATATACAGAAATCAATATTCTCATAAATTTAAAACATTTAAAATGTTTCTTTTTAATACCACTGAACTGTTTGTTTTTAATACCACTGTTGGTTGAGACAATATTTTTTTAGCTCAGCAATAATGTTAAATAAAATATGTTTATTCTGCCTCTAGAAGTACTTTCATGTTTCAAAGTTTAGTGTTAAGAGAGAGTTAAAAATAAAATTTAAAAAATGAGTAACCTTGTTGACTGTAGTAGTACTGTCTGGGGCCTCTACAAGCTAAATTTAATTAAAAAATATATATATTTAAATTTCTTGCTTATAGAATTTCTCTGTATTTTATAATTATTCTCAAGATTTGTTGAAGAAAATTGTGGTAGAACATGTGTGTGTGTGTGTGTGTGTGTGTGTGTGTGTGTGTGATTTTCTCTGATAGCGAAACTCAGCTGGTAGAGCATGTATTTACATATGTATATGTGTGTGTGTATTTATATGTGTGTGTGTGTATCTTATTTTTAGTATCTTCAAAGAGAAAAGTAGAGTTTCAAATACATCTTTCTAAGTCTATATTATTTATTATTTGAAATTATTTATTTTGAATATCTTTAATATATTATAAATTCCATTTTAATTTTAGGAAGAAACTGTTCCATACGCATTTTTTTTGAATGAAAAGGAAATTACCAGCACATTAGGATATTTACTCCAGCAAGAAAAGATAGAAACAGAAAAGATAGTACAAATTTTATATCAACCACAAGCTGTTTTTCGTGTTAAAGCAGTCACAAGATGCACTAGTACTATACCAGGTAAAAATGCTGAAAAAAAAAAAAAATTTTTTTGCATTTAAATTTAAGTTTGGTACAAATTTTAATGTTATAGTTTTTAAATATTGTCTAATGTATGAAAGCTTATATTAGTTTGCTTTAAAAAAAATAAATAAATAAAATAAAATCTGGCATTGTAGCTTCATGATAGTGGTATAGTGGTAGAACACTTGCCTCATAAATGAGAAGTTCCAAGTTCAATCCCCACCACGTCCCTGATAGTACCGTGCTCAACTTGTTTCTCCACACAGAGGCCTTGTTCTTCAAGGTTTTTGTTTTAGGGTTATAAAGTTGAGAAAGGGTTGTAACAACAACTTAAGTGGCCTTCTTGGCTTTGGGTAGGTAAATTAACATTTTAAAAAAAGTTAGCATCTGCAAAGGCTGCTTCTCTTTATTATTCTCGCCATTATCGATTCCATACTTAACTCTAAAAATTTTTTATTCATTCCTGTTCATTCATATGAAATATTGTTGTCATATTTTAGCTGATTCTTTTACTGTATCTGACCCTTCATGCTCTTAAAACGTTCCCTGAAAAAGAAAAACAAATTGATTATCACTTATTCTTGTGGGCATGTTTAGTGTCTTTTACTGTAGAATTATTTTGTAGAATCTAGTTCTAACATTTCTACTTGTTTAATCATAACATTTCTACTTGTTTAACATTTTTGCTTGGTGGCAAAATTACTGGAGAAACAATTTTTTTTTACAGAGTATAAACATAAGTTAAGAAGTCTTTTGTATTTTTACTATTGCCTAATATCATTTTATTTCTGCAAGAAAATTATTTTTTTTTCTCTTTAGGGATTTTTTTAAACTAGCAGCTTTTGACTTTCTGACTTGCTGATGTATGTTTTATGGTGTATTTGTTATGGTCTCAAAATTATGTTGATTTGGACTGTTGAGAAAAGTTCATTTTTAAACATACCCTCACCAGGCTTGGTCAGAAAGCAGGAACGATCGCTCTCGATTGCTGACCACGGAATTAATATTTATTTGCAAAAAGCTGGCCAAATTTTTTATTTGTTTTGAGAACCTTTCAAAAAGCAAAAAAAAATGCGCAAAAGATTAATTGGACCAATGAAAAACATTTACAAAAAAAAAAGAAAAAAAGTTAGGAAAATAAAATATCTTTTAACACCAAAAACTTAAACCAAAATAAATTACATATAGATCAAATATTTTTGAAACAATGCTCTTTTATAATTTTTTTATAAAGTTAAGCGACATTTTTTATGCTGGCGTCTGTGGCATAAAAATTGTTCTAAAAAAAGACATCCGTTATACCCATTTAGTAACTAAATTTTGAAAAAAGTATTTTGAAGAGCTAAAATAACTAATTCAATTCCCCAAAAGATCCCAGATTTTTACAGTCTCAAAGACCGGGTAAATTGAGGTCAAAGTTTTGGTGTATATAGAAACTGTCTCATAGTTTTAACTAGGACGGTTTCTATTAACAAAAAAAAACTGATTTTTTAAAAAAATTAATTATGCCCAAATAATTATTTTTTTTTATTTCAAATTTAGTAAGTATATTCTTTAATAAATTGCCTAAAGTTAAAAAAATAATTGGATGCTTTATGTTACTAGTAACCCAGGTTTCAGACCTTTTTATTTTTGATCTGTTTCCAAGGTATCTTATTGTTGACATTTTTATGTTATGCTTCAATGAAGAACAGTAAATAAAACTAAGTTTTGTCTTTAATATGCAGCAATATATCCTCGTCTTTTTTCTTTACAGCTGCTTCTCTAAGACAGCCGGCATCGGAGGTAAGACAATGAACCAATCTTGATCTTCCCTGCCTTTTTGACACCTAGAAGATAAGATTCCCAAAAATATAACTACATAAGTACCACATCATAAATCTAGGTACTTGATATATCTAAATATACAATACAGCCAGGACCATTTTTTGGGGCGGGGGTGGTTGGTCGTATATGAACATATTTTCCTTACAAAAACATTTTATCAAACCTCTGTCGGAAAATCGGGATTCATAGTCGGAAAATCTCGGGCATTGCAGAAATTTAAATTTTTTTTGTCGCTTATCACTTTAAATTAAGTCGGCAAAAATTAGATATATCATCCAACCATGCAACACCTCATCGGTATGGCCCTATATACTGCAACTCAAACTACTATTGAGGGAAATGTACCCATGATTCTAAAATGAATGTTATGATCTTATTCTAAGATGAATGTTGCCATCTTGATTTGTCAAAGAATCTAATGTTTATAAACTAATGCATTTTGAAACGCATTTATATTCTAACCTAATATTAAAACTTGCATATAAAAAATAAACTATTAATCAATACTGACACTGCTACACTAAATATATACTTTTTTTTTTCTTTTCTTGCAAATAGTATATATATATATATATCTGTGAGAATGGCTGTTCTATTACTACATTGTTTCAAAACTTGCGTTGATTGTATTTTCTTTGGGGAGGGTACTGAAGTATTTAAGGATGTTCAAGATAAAGCAACCTGTATGATAACAACTGCTGTTTAAAAAAAATTAAGCGATTTAATTTGGTAATAGAACTATATATACACGGTAGCAAGAAGTTACCCCAAACAAGGGGCTAACTTTGAAAAAATTACCCATTAATTGGTTAAGTAACTAATTTATAAAATCTGAATTTAAAAAAGTTTGCTCCTGAGTAATTTTTGAGTATTACGAAAAAGCATTTAGATCCATCAAAAGCTTACAATAAATACTTATTGACTTTTTTTGGTGAAGTTGTTTGCAATTATCAATTAACTATTGCAAATAATTTTGGAAAGATCTTTTGTGACTAACTATTATTGTCCAAATGTTGATTTCTTGATTTAATATAAAAATTCAGTTTCATTTATGAAAAATGTTTTTGGCGATCCATAAACTGCTCTTGTGGATATGATTATTTTAAAGCAAGCAGAGACTTTCATAAAAAATACTGCAATTGCAAGGTAAAGTGACATAGCTGCCAAAAGCAAGTGTAGGGTAAATGATCCATATAAAAATTATTTATTTATTTTCAAAAAAACATATATTTATATAAATAATTAAATGCAGCTTGTAAAGAAAAAAGTAAAATTTTTTCTGCAAAATTTTATCATTGCACACTTCATCAAATAACACGCCCATTATTTGTCCATTGATATGTATACATATATATATATATATATATATATATTATATATATATATATATATATATATATATATATATATATATATATATATATATATATATATGTATATATATATACACATATAACCAAACCGAGTGTTGTTTATATCCAGGATACAGTAACCATTTTGTTTTGGCACAACTAATTGATATTAATCTTTTTTCTGTTCTAAAATCAAATTTTCAGAAAAGCTATCAAAATGAATAGAACATTCATTCATCTTCTTTGACAACTTTAAAAAAAAAGAATTGTATAAATTTCTAGTATACAACATTATATATTTATAGTATATAAATTAGACTATAAAATATTTTTCAATATATTTGTATGCATAAAATATCCATATATACTGAAAAACATTTACTATATATATAAAAATTTTGTAACAATTAATCCTGATAAAATAAAAATAGTTCAGATTGTTCAAATTAAAACCTGCCAAACAATTCCATGATTCTATAATAGGGTGTGTCGATTTTTGATTTTTTTCTAAAAAAAAATTGGGGAGTTACTAAAAGTTGCAGAATTTGATGGAGAATCCAAATATGTTTTTAAAAATTGAATTAAATAATTTTTTGCTAAGATGATTTAACTTTTTATATTTCCATAAAATTTTGACCTGGTTTCTCAAAAAAACCCGGTTTTTACTTGGAAATTAATAAGCTTTTTTTCTACTTTGTTTGATAAATATAAGTTGAAATAAAAATGTTGATTAAAACTAATTTTAGATATTATAATATTTTCTTTAAGAATTTGTATAAAATATAAATGAAATATTTCTTATTTCAAAATTAGACTTTGAATTTAATTTTTAATATGCATATTAATTTAAAACTGAAATTAAATTGAGATTAATTTATAAATATTAAAATAATTTTCAATGTATTTTAAATACAGTTTGCCTTAACATCGTGTAATAATTTTATTGGTATTGATGCTAGAAATACAGCAAGATATTAAAAAAAAAAAAACGAGTTATTTCAATAAATATAGTGTCAAACTTTTAAGGTCTTTTTTACTATTATTTTTAGGCATTAACTTTCTACTCGCCTCTTGAGTTTCGACAAACCCTTCTCTCTTTTCATGAGTGTACACTCTACTTAAAGCATCAGTAACTTGCTTTACCCAACGTTCAACAGATTGTCCATGACATGGCCAAATCGGCACCTGCATAGGATTTGATAAAAGCACATTAATTTCAGAAGTTGTTAGAGAGGTAGTTAAGACTGGTTCATAAACCGGTGACTGCCATGATATTAGGTCTATCAATTTTTCAGCATTAAAGTTCAGAACAGGCGTTTTTCTTGGTCTAGGAGAGGAATCACCTTTCTGTAGATCTTTATTTCCAGTACCACTAATATCTTTTATCTTATTAGTAGCTACACTTCTATCATCTTCAGTATTAGAACACAACAATGTTTGTAGTATACACTCACTGAAACAAAACCAAGCTGATCTTTGAATAGAGGGTGATACTATTTTAATGACATCTTCTTTTTGAAATTTAAGTTGCTGCAGTTGGTAAAGTACATGTTTAGGACCTTCAATCCAAGAATGTTCAACTTTAATCTTAAACCAACAAAGAAAATAAACACCTACAATGTAATCGGTGATAGATCTTAAATTTTCTAAATCTTTAACTTGAATTCCATGTTTAGAGATCCATATTCTACATATTCTGTTAGCAGTAGTTAACCATCTAACATCAGACCATTTATTGTTTGATTTCGTTTGACCATCTAAATTGGTAATAAGATGTTTCAGTGACAACTCATTTGTATAGAGTTGACATATAAGCCA